CCGTCTTTCCTCTGCATCTCGCAGGACGCCTGGTGTACTTGAGTGGAGTGATGGTGACGATTTTATTCCTAATATTCCTCACTTTGACGATAAAGATGTAGGGACTACAAACCTTTTCCCTAATCAAGGTGAGGACATGGCTGAGATGGAATATTTTACAGCATTCTATGATGAACCACTCATGGAATACATTGTACATCAAACGAACCTGCATGCTGCTTACCTGATTGAGAGGGAAATCACAGAATTTTCACGACTGCAGCGTTGGAAAAATACCACAGTGGCGGAAATGTATGTGTTTTTGGCACTCTGTTTGTTGATGAAGCACTGTCACAAACATGCAATAAATGACTATTGGAGCAAGGACAAGACAATACCAACACCTTTATTCGGGAAATATATGTCACGAGACAGGTTTCAGATACTCCTCAGGTGTCTACATTTTGGAAGTGTTCAGGACCGAACACCTGATGATAGACTGTGGCGAGTGAGGCACTACATGAATGATGTTATTGGAAAATTCAGAGATTTTTACGTACCAGCACAGAAGCTGGTGGTTGATGAATCTCTCATACTTTTCAAGGGACGTGTTCCATTCAAACAGTACATTCCCTCAAAACGAAACCGATTTGGCCTGAAATTTTTTGTTCTTTGTGATTGTGAGACAGGATACGTGTTACACATGATTCTGTACTCGGCTAGTGATGTAGACATTCCCGGTAACGACGAACATGGATTCTCGGGGAGTGTAGTGAAGACCATCATGGCTCCGTGGATGAACAAGGGACACATTTTATACACAGATAATTACATACAAGTCCCTTGCTAGCTCGGTTCTTGCTAGAAAATAGAACCGGATTGGTTGGTACAGTAAAGCCACAACGAAGGGAAATGCCTGTGTTTGACAACGACATTGCAGTTGGTGAGTGTCAGAGAAGGAAAAGTGATAACATTCTGTCAGTTCGGTGGAAAGACAAAAGAGAGGTGAACTTGTTGACAACAATTCATGATGGAACAATGGTGAACAGTGGGAAAGTGAGCCATAAAACAAACGCACCACTATATAAGCCAGACTGTGTTTTAGACTATAATATCAACATGCGGTTGATTGATAAATCAGACATGATGATTGGCACTGCAGAGTGTGTGCGGAAGACATGTAGGTGGACGAAAAAAGTGTTCTTCCATCTTGTGGACATGAGCATGCTGAACTGTTTCAACATGTACCTTGTGAGAACTGGACGTAAGCCCACTTTCCGTGACTTTGTATTTGATGCTGCAATACAGTTATTAGGAAAGTTTGCAAAAGATGTCCCAGGTATTCAGCGGCCCATCATAAACCCACTGTTACAGCATGCTGGTACTCCACGCCTCGCTCACACTGAAGGCTTCCTAGCACACAAACTTAAGTATTTGCCACCTGGTGTGAAGCGTGCAATAGCCCAACGTGATTGCTTGGTGTGTAAAACAACGACACGTAGAGACAAGAAACGGAAGCTTGTGCAAACATGGTGTGAAACGTGTGGTATCCCATTATGTGCTGTCGACTGCTTCAATGACTACCACAGTCTAGAAATCTTCTAAGTGTGCTTCAAAGTGTGTATAGCGTGTGCGAGTGTGTAAATATGTAAACATATAAGCAGATAGCGTGTGCGTGTGTGTAAATATATACAAATATAAGCAGAACATACAATATAATAGACTGTAATGACATATTATATTGCCGTAATTGAAAACATTTGTGTGCGCCTGTGTATACTCAAATATGCAACAATTATTGATACAAAATATGTTCAAACAGTATTTGAAACACAATTAGTGAAAAAAAATTAGATAAAATGCGCTTAGACATTGTAAATAAATAGCGCGAAAATATATTTGTGGCAACTCTGGCTGTTTGAGGACCGCGCGCAACATCTCCCGGGCGTGTACTGCATGAGCGAACATGCAGATTGTGACGTCATCACCGAGCTTCTCGGCTCTATTGCAACAAAAGTAAGTACAATAGATTTTATTTTTTATTTTTCCCGTGATCAGTGAACAGAACTTAACAGATTAGCAAAAAAAAAAAATTTTTTTTTTTTCAAAATGACATGCGCCTGTGTGGATAGCAGGATATTAGACCCCGAGCATGTTAAGGGTTAATATAATCTTGGTTACAACAGTCAGTAGTTGGAGATGTAATAATATGTTGTGATAGCCAAGATGAGGCCTGGAGTAAAGAGCCGAGCGCTTGCGTGAGGCCGGGGGATGGGGGGGGGATGAGAGCTCGGATGCGGGATGAGAGTGTAGAGCTCGAATATGGGTGAGGTCTTTGAGCTCAAAAGCAGAATTAGAGCTGAAAGCTCAAATACAGCCAGAATCTGTCTGCTCTGTAGCAATACTTGAACACAAGTAGGAACTGGACTCGAGTATCACATTGTTGCTGGTATATGTCGATGGTGTTGAAGATCTGAGGTTTATCTCTAGAGCACGTTACTGAACCACTATCCTAGTTAAACGGATCATGATCTATAAATTGATGGCTTATATTACAAGCTTCTCCCGACTTTGCCAAATCAACATTTAGGTTATATCTTGGCTGGGCCTGATTGATCCTGTACCCTTGGAAAAAGATATTAATAGTAATTAGTGCATATAATATTAATGTAGAACTTCAAGAAATGTGGAATTATTTGGGACACGTTATTTGGAATTAACAAGCACACCTAATTACCTGCTCTGAAACTTCTGAGAATTCGGAACAATTTTATCTCCCATTAATATAACGGCAATGTTGTAATAGGGTTTTCTCAACAGTTAGTCATAAAGACCCAACACCAGAGTATCCTTGACAACACCAGAGTGAGCTTCACCATCACTGACAACACCAGAGTGAGCTTCACCATCCTTGACAACACCAGAGTGAGCTTCACCATCATTGACAACACCAGAGTGACCATCATCATTGACAACACCAGAGTGAGCTTCACCATCATTGACAACACCAGAGAGAGCTTCACCATCCTTGACAATACCGGAGTGAGCTTCACCATCACTGACAACACCGGAGTGAGCTTCATTACTGACAACACCAGAGTGAGCTTCATTACTGACAACACTGGAGTGAGCTTCACCATCATTGACAACACCAGAGTGAGCTTCACCATCACTGACAACACCAGAGTGAGCTTCACCATCACTGACAACACCAGAGTGAGCTTCACCATCACTGACAACACCAGAGTGAGCTTCACCATCGCTGACAACACTGGAGTATCATTGACAACACCAGAGTGAGCTTCACCATCACTGACAACACCGGAGTGAGCTTCATCTTTGTCAACACTGGAGTGAGCTTCACCATCATTAACACCACCGGAGTGAGCTTCACCATCAATGACTACACTGGAGTGAGGTTCATCTTTGTCAACACTGGAGTGAGCTTCACCATCATTAACACCACCGGAGTGAGCTTCACCATCAATGACTACACTGGAGTGAGGTTCATCTTTGTCAACACCGGAGTGAGCTTCGACTTTGTCAACACCAGAGTGAGCTTCATCTTTGTCAACACTGGAGTGAGCTTCACCATCATTAACACCACCGGAGTGAGCTTCACCATCATTGACAACACCGAAGTGAGCTTCATCTTTGTCAACACGGGAGTGAGCTTCGACTTTGTCAACACCAGAGTGAGCTTCATCTTTGTCAACACCAGAGTGAGCTTCACCATCATTGACTACACTAGAGTGAGCTTCACCATCATTGACAACACCGAAGTGAGTTTCATCTTTGTCAACACCGGAGTGAACTTCGACTTTGTCAACACCGGAGTGAACTTCGACTTTGTCAACACCAGAGTGAGCTTCATCTTTGTCAACACCAGAGCTTCATCAATGACACTATTGGAGTCAGCTTCACTGACAACACTGAAATGAGCCTCACCATCATTGACAACACTGGAATGAGCCTCACCATTGACATCACTTTTACAACCTAATCTTAAGCTTGAAATATTACTCAAAACAAGGTCCTTGTGTGACCCAGTCAGTTTAAATCAGTTCCATTGCAAGTTATTTTCATTACCAGAGTCATGTCTCATTAACCACATAACTTGGTGTTGATCATGTCAAGTATGGGTGTGGCCAGTAATTGAATGGGTGGTTGGAGAAATGCAGCACTGGCCAGTGCATCTTAACAAGCCTTGTGGGGTTCTTGTCCCAACATGGTATACTATACCCTTCGTACAAAATATTAATCCAGAGCTCATTTCAAATGCATCCTCATCTGCAATACTCTATTCTCCACATTACACCTGAGTCCACCTGCGTCCTACACACTACATTCCAGTCCACCTCTGTCCTACACCCTAGTCCACCTCCGTCCTACACACTACACCCCAGTCCACGTCCGTCCTACACCCCTAGTCCACCTCCGCCCTACACTCCAGTCCACCTCCGTCCTACACACTACACCCCAGTCCACCTTCATCCTACACACTACACCTGTTCTAAATTTTGTCCCCTACATCCCCTTGCCACTTCAGGGGGTGTAATGTTTTTATAAAGCTTCAGGGCATCCATTTCCCCCAACCACTAGGCGTGAAGAGAAATAGGTACCCCTAAGCACACAAATTTCCCAAACAACACAAACGAAAAAAATATATAATAATGGTTAGATGGTAATCTCACCCACAAGAGTTATGATGATGATGATAATGGGTTAGTATAATGGAAAAATCTTTTGTATTGGTTTTTCTTATATAAGACACAGCACACAAAGGGAGAGGTGCACAGTATATCATTAAAAAGAGAACTAAAGCCGAGGGCAAGGCAACAGGCTGCCTAAGTGGCAGGTTTGGTGACTTGACAACTGCATACCATGGAAAACAATTCAAAGCGGAAGCTCCTAGCAAGGCCCCGGAGCGGGAAGGTTGTTATGTATGCGCCCGGGGTCCCTCCGGCCAACTGCCATACAACAACTGGGCCACCTAACACCCTACATCACACCCAGCCTACCTGTACCATCCTCGAAAACAATTTGGCGACTTCCATAATATGCAGGCATCAGAGACTTGAGCAACACATCATCCTGGCTGGTGGAAGTCATCACATGGTTGTAGAGCTGTAGTTCGTCCCTGCAAACTGGGGCGATTTCTGGAAAAGATGCGTTAGTTAAAGTAAACCATGGGCACTAAACAGACGCTTCGGAGCCAGACACAGTGGAGGAAGGGGAGGGGGGACCAGGATGAACAACAGAAGGGGAAGGACAAGGGGGCACGGGCTGAACCAAAGTTGAAGCGACTAACACCTCTAAAGTCCGGGTCCCTATAACCAAAATGGGGCAGTCTCGGGGCATCTGGGGTAGCAACCAACCTAGCGCGCTGCAGCAACCTAAAATGAGCATGCAACGCCGAAGCTGCCTGCACCCGTAGATCATGAACAGTGGACTGGGTGAATTTGAGTACAAACAAGAAACAAAATTTGCAGGACTCCGGGTCGAAGGTGTCACTGACCAACAGGCAGCACGAAGGAGGCACAAACGGCAAGTGTCACCCTGAGACGGGGACAGAGCAACCTTCAAACTTGCACAAAGCGAGAGGGGACCCAGGGGTCACATCCATTGGACCAAAGAGCCCCGCAGGGTTTCCCAGGGCCCTTAGTCGTGTATCTCGCTAAGGGAAGCCCAGGCAGGATACTGCTAACCGGTGCCCAAGATTACCAAGCAAACTGCTAAAAGATGAATTCCCGGGGCATGTACACTCACATGGGCCTAGTGGAGGAGCACCGAGATATAAATGGGTGTGACCAAAACCAAGGGAGCAGACCCCAACCAGGCAGGAAAACAAAAACAAAAGAAAACCCCCGCAAGAGGACAACTTGCCCATGCGGAACAGAGCCAGCTGCCATGAGAGGTGAAAACTAGCTGCACAGTACCCTGCACCCCAACCAGTGACAAAAACTATCCCTTACCCAGAGGCAAACAGTGGTGTATGAAACACCGCAGCTGACTCCAAAGGCGGTCAATCACCGAACAGCAAAAGAGCTTGCGGAGGTAGACCCCAAGGTGACTTGTGTAAGGTAGCCTCAAACCCCAAGGGCAGTACTTACAGGGCACCTAGGGAAGGGGACCATAGGCGCATTCAGCCCGAGTACTTGTGAAATTACTCCTGGCTCGTGGACCACTTAGTAGACTGGACCACATCACAAGGCACAGAACTGGAAAACACAGGAACCAGAGGCACACAACCTTGTCAGTTCACATCAGCTACAGAACTGCAGGGTGCATAACCAGCGCGAGGGTCTGGGGCTCCCCCTTCCCTCTCCCGGGAGGGGGGGTTGCGCAGACAGCGGCGCAGTGATGTGGTGACGTCATGCTCATTTGCTCGTTTTTCATTTGGGGAGTTCTGTCCACTAGTTCGGCTTTCAGTAGCAATATTTTAATCGGAGTAGGGGATTTGTTTTGGGGCGCTTACCTGTCTGGATGCCTGACCCAGTCGATGGCAGACACAGAATGCTTCCAACCACACGGTGATTTCAATAAGCCATTGCTTTTCGTGCATCTCTGAGGGGGCCAGGTTCTGGTTCTGGTTCCTCCCCGGTGGGCCTAGAACTCTGTGTGCACTGACTGATGCCAGAATCTAATATATTTATATCAGCCCGGTTAGCTCCAGAGAGCCTCTGGGTCTCAACCAGAAAATCATGTATCATTACAGTCAACACTTGTTTTTTGTTGCGCCTGGTGGTGGAATTTTAGACAAAAATACAAGTCACAGCTTCGTATCATCCTTTGTAGATGACACAAAAATCAGTATGAAAATTATCTCGGCTGAAGACATTGAAAAACTTCAAGCTGATATTAATAAAGTTTTTGACTGGGCATCAGAAAATAACATGATGTTTAACAGTGATAAATTCCAGGTACTCAGGTACGGTAAAAATGAGGACCTTAAACATAATACAGGGTATAAAACATAATCAAATGTACCCATAGTAGGAAAACAGCATGTAAAGGATTTCGGAATAATAATGTCTGACGACCTAACATTTAGGGAGCATAACCAAGCAAGTATTGCATCAGCCAGAAAAATGATAGGATGGATTACGAGAACTTTCAAATCCAGGGATCCCATCACAATGGTTGTACTCTTCAAGTCACTTGTGTTGTCCTGTCTTGAGTACTGCTCAGTACTCACTTTCCCCTTCAGAGCAGGAGAGAGTGCTGAAATAGAGGGAATACAGAGAATATATACGGCACGCATAGACGTGATAGAGCACCTAAATTATTGGGATCGTCTCAAAGCCCTCCAAATGTACTCACTAGAAAGAAGACGAGAGAGATATCAAATAATATACACCTGGAAGATACTGGAGGGCCAAGTACCAAATCTACACAGTAAAATAACAACGTACTGGAGTGAACGATATGGAAGAAAATGCAGAATAGAACCAGTGAAGAGCAGAGGTGCCATAGGCACAATCAGAGAACACTGTATAAACATCAGAGGTCCACGGTTGTTCAACACCCTTCCAGCAAGCATAAGAAATATTGCCGGAACAGCCGTGGACATTTTCAAGAGGAAACTAGATTTATTCCTCCAAGGAGTACCGGACCAACCGGGCTGTGGTGGGTATGTGGGCCTGCAGGCCGCTCCAAGCAACAGCTTAGTGGACCAAACTCTGACAAGTCAAGCCTGGCCTCGGGCCGGGCTTTGGGAGTAGAAGAACTCCCAGAACCCCATCAACCAGGTATCAACCAACCAGGTGGTGTTGAAGGAATTTAAGCCCATAGCAGCATAAGTAGCTAACACCTGCACTGCACCAGTCAACATATTAAGAGTTGTGCTGGTGCACCAGCCGACATGTTATTATGTTAGTACAGTATATCTTAAGATTCGAAACTTCCATGTATTCAAGGGAGGGAGGAAAGGAGGGAATTATCAGGGGAAAGTGTCAAGCAATTACGACTATATAGCACTTGGAAGGGGTCAGGATAAGGATTTGGGATGGGACGGAGGGAAGGAATGGTGCCCAACCACTTGGACAGTTGGGGATTGAACGCCGACCTGCATGAAGAGAGACCATCGCTCTACTATTCAGCCCAAGTGGTTGGGCAAATGTGCACTTCAAGGGAGCGAACATCTGCTTCCTCAGGCCTCCTGTAACCATCCCCCATTTTGAAAACACGTCCCAAGTCTCTCACTTTCTATCCATGACCTTAGTAACGTGGTCTAGGTTACCAAGGCTTATGAAACGTTCTTAAGGCCATGGTTTAGAAACGTGTAGGGCAGCCATACTATGAGCCACTGAAATTTTAACAACAGCAAGTGATTACCACTATATATTTCAGGCAAAATGTGCACTATGTCCAATTACAGGATTCAGGCTTATATACTGTACTGTATATGTATTTGTATGAATAAATACACAGTGTGCATACATTAATACACATATCTGTATATATGTATACAGTATTTTCAAAGTTATACAAAATGAACACCATCTTTGACATACAGATACAACTTGTCAATGCAAAAAAAAATAAAAAAATCAAGTGAGAAACATTGAAAATAAATTGACAGTTATTCCCATGCAGCAACTTGCCTCATTTTTACCCAAAAAACACTTCTCCAGCCCACTATAGCTAAACTACAAGAGGTTGAGACTTTTTATTTGGATTTTCATGCTTCCTGAGTACTAATTAACAGTACCAAAAGGAAAAATACTGTTTTTGGAACAATTTATTTCTGGCACACCACGGGAATGTAATTTTAAAAGGTGCACATTGCAGGGGGTTAATTAGCTTACCTGATCACATGACTATGCATACATGCGTGTACAAAAAAGTCGCAAGAAGAGTAATCAAAAGAGCAAAAACTGGCCTTTATCAGTATACTTGCCAGAGTAATTATTCAAGTTTTGCATTTGCCAACATACAAGGTATCAAAACACTCAAAACATTGCTGCAAACTGCAGCAATGTTTTGCTGCAGTTTGCAGCAAACACTCAAAACAAACACTCAAAACATAAAGCTTTAACTGAAACTCGTACAAAGGACTTATGACAGAGTTAAGGTTACAAGAATTCAATCTTTTCAGACGTGATAGGAAGCATAGGCTACAGGGTGGGATAATCTGCAGAACTGCTAAACACCTCAAACGATATCGTGGAAATGATAATCAAAATAGAAATTCTGATTATGGTGATTATCCTTGTATATAAATCACCAGATGCAAATCCTCAGCAGTTTAAAAGATCAACTTACAAAAATAGAATACTGCTTAGAAAGCCTCTCAAACCATGCACCAAATATTATCTTGCTTGGCGACTTCAATTTATGAACCCAGCAATCGCAAGAGCGGTGGAAGGGACAGCCCCAAAGGAACCAAAACAGCCGCCAAAGCCACACCCAACCCAGTGGGTAAACCAACACGGCAAAGTTCAGACTCCCACACAACTGTTCGAACAACCCCTGAGTGACCCGTGACCCTCTCAAAATCAGCTGAAGGCGGCACTGCAGCAGCAGCAATCCCACCTGAGGGAGAGACAAGGAAGCGGTCCGTGAGTCCCACACAAGACGCAGCCAAGTCTGAACCCGAGACTGGACCATATAAAACTTCCTCCAATTCACCGGGAATCTGAACCTGGCAAGCTGGGAAAGAACCACTTCTCTGGTGAGCAGACATGCAGACCGACTGGGAGCCCACCTCAGCCAGTCATCGAGGTAGGTCAGAACCCAAACCCCTAACAGACGCAGATGGGTCAAGGAAGCATATCCATTCCAAGACAACCCGACGAAGCACGGGAAGAGGCCTGCCCTGCCAGCCCCGAACCCCCCAGGAGGAGGAGGAGGAGGAGCCACTCACTGCCACAACAGACCGGAGGAGACGACCTGAAATGCCCACGAATTGTGGGACCAGGACTGAGCAAACACCGCGAGCCTTTCTCTCATTGCCTCTTTAACAGGGCAATCCTCGAAAGGGTCAATGCCCCTTACGAGAAGCTGAACGATGAGCAGAGTGATCACTGCGCTGGCTCCGAAGGAAGCACCAACTGGCACCACTGGCATACCACAACTGGTATGCCAGTGGAGAACGGACAAAAAGGCGATGAAAACCAAAGAGCCAGAGCCCAAGCAGATTGCAAGGAGATTGTAAGCACAGCCTGTCGACACACAAGGAGAGAAGCAAAAAACAGAGACACCGCCTCCTTGTGAATCAGTGCAAACAACTTCAACATGGCTGCCGACGCTTGAGCCACGGAGGGAAGCGCACCAGACAAAGATCTGGCACCCAATGCCTCCACACCCTTTTCAAGCTAATCCAAGGACACCTCGAGAAGGGAAAAGAAACGCAAGACCGAGGCCAAGTGCCCACGGGCGCACAAATCCTCAGCAACCAAGGTAGCTGAAAGGGAAAGAACCTGCACATGGAGTTGCACAATGCCAACGTCCCTAAGAAGCACAGGGGTGCACAAGCATGCATTAAAGTGCTCAAACGTGCCCCCCCAGGTGAACCTGTACAATAGTAGAAGTCTCATGCCACTCAAGCATGCGGGTCCAACAAAACCCATGCCATATGCCCAATGAAAAGAAGGGGCAGTCTGTCAGCCAGGAAGACTCCAATACCACATAATGCACCCAAAAGGGGGAAAGTCAACCCGAACTCAAAAGAAGATGGATCCATCACCAAGGCATAATCCGAGTATCGCAGGAGGTACGCAGTGAGGCCCTCCCGAACCTCCCTAGGCGAGATTTGAGAAGTCGAAAAGCTCCTGAAGGAAGGAACCGAAGAACCCAAGGGAACCCGGAACCAAACCTGGGGAGCCAACAACAAATCATACTCATACAGGAAGGGGGAGATAAGAAAACCCTTCCCCCCTGCAACAACAAGCTCCACGAAGAGGGTACCAACAACTAAGCAGGGTCAAATGAGGCCCAAGCCCTCCAAGTCAACCCCTTCCCAGCCCCAGGATCCTCCTTGTTAGGACCCGGGGCAGAGCCGGCCTCCACACCTTCACCCTCCATGGAAAAGGCCGAGTCCAGAGGAAAAGCAAAAAAGAAGGGGGTCTGCTGGCAAGACCTAGAAGCTTTAACAGGAGATACCTGTTCAAATGCCTCCATCGTCAACCCGGATGGGGCAGCCCCCAAAGCTGCCCGAGTCTCACTTCCATCTAAACCCTGTTCCGACTCCAAAATCCTCAGATGTTTGGAAGCCGGGAGCAGGAGGAGGGGGAGTAGGACGAACAACACCAACCTGGGAAGGACTTGGGAGTGCGGACAAAACCAAAGTTGAAGCGACTAATGCCCCCAAGTCAATAACCCAAACGGGGCAGCCTCGGGTCATCTGGGTGAGCAACCAACCTAGCGCACCGCAGCAACCGATATTGTGCATGCAACACTTAAGCCACCTATAACCGAACATAAATATCAGCAGAATGGGTAAACTGAAGCACAAGCAAGGAACAAGACTCAGGATTCTGGGTCAAAGGTATCATCGATCCAGTAGGCGGCATGACGAAGGCAAAACAGGCGAGTGTCACCCTAAGACAAGGGGATAGAGCAACCATCAACCCCGCACTCGGTGGGCTGGAGCCCTGAGGACACATCCATAGGTTCAATGAGCCCCAATGGGGTTTTCCAGGGCCCTTAGGGTGACTGCTAAGGGAAGCCCAGGCAAGGTAATGCTAACCGGTTGGGCCCAAACTACCAAGAGAACTGCTAAAACTGAACAGCTGCAATGTGTACAAGAATGGGGGCCTAGCATAGGACCACCAGTATATCAGAAGGTGGATGAAAACCACAGGGGCAGACCCCCACCAGGCAAAAAAAAAAAAAAAAAAAAGAAAAAAAAAAAAAACACGAAAGCACAATGTCCCCCAGGAGGAACAGAACTGGCCGCTGTAAACAACGGGAGACAAGCTACACAGTACCTTGCACCCCTACCAGCAATAACACCACTTCCTACCCAAGGCCAAACAAAAGGAATGAAAACCCCAGCTGACCCCAAGGGCGGCCAATTGCCAGGCAGCAAAAGATCCCTACAAAAGCGGTTCTCAAATGCCCTGTAGAAGGGAACCCCAGTATGCAAGGGCAGTACTTACAGGGCACTTAAGGAAGATGATCTTAAACACATGGAGCCCCAATACTGATCAATTACTCCTGTCCTGCACACCGCACCGCAGAAAAACACCACAAGGTACAAGACTACACAGAATGAGAGGCCAGAGTCGATGACCGCCACAGACAGACATCAGCCGAGAACTGAATGCTGGAGCACCTGGCTCGGAGGGTCCAGGGACCCCCTTCCCCTCCCAGGGGTAGGGGGGCTGCACGGACAAGTGGCACGGAAGTGACGTTTGCTTGTTTTAGTTTGGGAGTGCTGCCTCCCTGTTTGGCTTTTAGGTAGCAATTTTTACCATGTGGGGTTTGTTTTGTTACGCCTATCTTTCTGGGTGCCAACCCCGGTCGATGGCAGACTTGGAATGCTTCCAAATGCATGGGGGTTTCCATAGGTCATTGCTCCCCTAGCCTCTCTGAGGGGACCAGGTTCTGGCTTGTGGTCCCCGGTAGGCAAAGAATTCCAATCGACTGATGCCACGGTCTAATCTATTTCTATTTCTATTTATTTATATACAAGAAGGTACATTGGGCTGCGAGAGTACATAACATATATTAAGAGGTACATTGTAGCAAGATTTGAGATTAAAGGATTTATTTATTTATTTATTTATTTATTTATTTATTTATGCATATACAAGAATGTACATAAGGAATGTGAGGATACAAATATGGTAATTACAGTCTTGTAAAGCCACTAGCACGCGCAGCGTTTCGGGCAGACATAATACATACATATCAGCCCGGTAAGCTCCAGGGAGCCATAGGGCTCCCCCACAGAAAAAGAACTTGATAAACACTTCAAAGGATACCTGATCAAGCAGGCTGTGACTCTGACATGGCTGTTTGCAGCCTAATGCACAACAGCCTGGTTGACCAGACTACCAACCAGGAGTCCTGGTCAGAGACTGGGACGTTGATCCTCAGAATCCTCAAAAGGTATATAATAACGCTCTAAAAACACTTGTAATAAAATTTTAGACCTTGACTGAAATATAGCAGAGATTCTTAGAAGTATAAAATATTAAGAAACAAAATACAGAAGACCCTTGCTTTGCTGTGGATTAGTCTGAAAAAACAAATTTAAGACGTGCAATTTTGATTTTAACACCAAAATTCAAACTGTATAAGTGTTAGTTGGCTTGTACACAAATAGGGTTATAAGCTCAAGTGATGCTAATAGAGTAACAACTAAATTTGAAAGAGAAAATTATCCAAGTCATGATTAGTAAGGTTCTTGAGAAAAAAAAAATTACCCGAGGATCAACATCTCTAGTGGCCTCGACTGGGACAGGAAGCCAGTTTGTCAATATACAGTACACCTGGAAGATACTGGAGGGCCAAGTACCAAATCTACACAGTAAAATAACAACGTACTGGAGTGAACGATATGGAAGAAAATGCAGAATAGAACCAGTGAAGAGCAGGGGTGCTATAGGCACAATCAGAGAACACTGTATAAACATCAGAGGTCCACGGTTGTTCAACACCCTCCCAGCAAGCATAAGAAATATTGCCGGAACAACCGTGGACATTTTCAAGAGGAAACTAGATTTATTCCTCCAATGAGGAATAATCCAATAATCCTGAGGATTCTTTCCAGCTGAATTTTAAACAGAAGTAATGTTTTTGCATTTATGGCTTTGGCAGGTAGGCAATTCCATAGGTTTATAACCCTATGAGTGAATAAGCATATTCCATTTTCTGTTGAACATTGTGGCTTGTTGAACTTAAACCTGGTTGCTCCTTGCATGTGTTACACTGGACCTTTTAAAGAAGTGGTCTGGATTAATATTTTTTGTCTTGTTTAGTAATTTAAAGGTCTGAATGAGATCAGACTCATCATGTCTGATTTCTAGTGTTAGTCCTGTGGCCCTTAACCCTTCCTGGTGTGAGAGTTGACTTAGTTCTAGTACAACTTTCATTGCTTTGTGTTGAACTTTCTCCAAAGCAGATATGTATGTCGTTTTGAAGGTAAGGTTCTCCATACTTGTAAACAGTAGTCCAGATAGAGGCACACCAGAGATTTATACAGCTGAGTACCCACTTTTTTCCTTCATGGCAAGAGGATGGATGGAAACAAGGAGGATTAGAGTAACATACAATGTTATTCTTCAGCTTTATCATGTGCTTATTTAGTCCCATGTCAATTATGCAATTCAGTTTTGGGCAATATGCTATAGAATAAACAATATGGCTTTAATAGGTGCTCTTATTTTTTGGTATAATGTTGCAAGCAATTCATGCAGCAAGGCTATTTGATGTAACATTAAAACAGGGCAGTCTGACATCATGATTTCTTTCTATTATCTTGCATTATGACACCTTCCAAGGCATGATGATTCCTAGTCTGGCCTTACTGCCTTTTTTGTATCTATATCCTTCAGGTGCCTTAAATCCCCTCTTCGGTGATCACTATACAGAATAGTATTGCTTCTGCTTGTTCACTTTCCTCCACCCTCAGTTTCTACTCTACTTCTGTTAGATTATCTATGACTCTTGTTTCCACAATTTTTAATTTGGAATCAACCTCCCTAATCTAGTTTAATTAACTTACCTGAACATATGACTGTGCATGCAGGTGTGTGCAAATAGGTCACAAGAGTAATCAAAATATAAAAACTGACTAATGCCAGCTGTTCAACCAACCCTTATCAGCATTTTTCCCAGAGTCATTATTGAGGTGTGTGATGGGGGATGTTGACCCTGTCGTATCATAGGTGGGATTAGCATTCAGCTTTACTGGCTTCAGAATATGACCATCCTCATCCTTCAGCACACCTGCCAACATAAAATTGTCCCGATATATTTAATGACATTCAATCACATCAAGAGTCCTGACAATCCTTTAATCATCACTCACACATGCCATATGAAATTATGACAACAATTTCAGTCACTCAAAACATATGTGTTCCTTATATCTTCATGAAAGAATGCGCAAAAATATGAACACACAGGCGAGACTTCATTTTAACGTATTCATTCATTAAGAGACACTAAATATGAAGTGACCTACTGATGCTTAAAAATTTAAGAAATCTTTAAGTGTCCAGCTTAACCAGTATAGAATCTTACTTACGTGACTGAATGCCTTTATGCCAGCCTCCGACCTGGTGCACGTAAGGAATGAGGTCGCTCATGGTCATCGATTATAATTCAGCATGTGACATATATGTGCCTGAAATGAGAAATAAAGATACCATAGATAGATAGATAGAGCTAGATAGATAGATATAGGTATATTTTGGAAGCTGTCTTTCTTCTAAACATATGTTGTTAAATATGACCGAAAAGGTAAGATTAATGATTCTAACATAAATCTTCTCAATATGTCTTATGTTTTTCTTCACTGTCGAGGGAAGTTGAAAAATTAACTCGTCACAGTTCATTTCCACACTATATTTATGATCTGATGCCTAGGGACGCATTTTGCAAGTCACTTCTCACATTTTTAAAGAAAAATTTTCTATACTCTGCTAATGTCAAAATCAATACTAAAAAGTACCTAATTTCATCTTCATAGTTTTCACTTTTTGCCTTAAAATTGCACTGTATCAATTGCTACCCAATCTCCCAACCTTTATGTTCCCAATTTGAACATCTTTACCATTGTGATCATTGCTGTTTTCTTATATGTGCTGCCAATCTGTTGTATGGTGTTTATAAATCTTGTTTATCTGTATCTTTTGCTACCCAGTCTCCCAATCTTTATGTACCCAATCTGAACATCTTTACCATTGTGATCATTGCTGTCTTATATGTGCTGTCAATCTGCTGTATGGTGTCTATTAACCTTGTTTAAATTACTAATCAAGCTGTCAATGTAATCAATCAGAGCTTTAATATAACAATATGCTTTAATATACCTACTTATCTCTCTCATCTCATTTTTCTCTTGTAATGTATCTTTATCATTTATCAATTCTGATTGAAATTACCTACTTAAAATTATCTGCTTGATTAAGGACCTGCCCGAAACGCTGTGCGTACTAGTGGCTTTACAAGAATGTAAATACTGTACTATCCAATGTATTCTCACAAACCCAATGTACCTTCTTGTATATATATAAATAAATAAATAAATAAATAAATAAATAAATAAATGCTTATACAGTGGCACCTCGACATACGATTGCCCCTACTTACGATAATTTCAAGTTACGATGTAAATTTAATCGAAAAATGCGACTCGACATCTGATGGTGTCGTCTACTTACGAAATTGGTACACGTTCAGGTCGACCGAGCGCGTGGTTCCCAGTCACGCGGCCGATCTGCCTCAGTTTACTACAGCTGCCCGCTTAGTGACGATCGCGCCTATAAGAAATTCCGCTTTTGTGGTGATTTTTTGCATTTTGAACATTAAAGTAATTATTATATATCACGCCATGAGTCCAAGGAAAGTCAGTGGTAAGACTCAACATTTGAAAACCCATGTAAGGATGACCATAGAGCAGAAACAAGAGTACAGAATGTCTCTTCCTCAACAATTAAGAAAATATGTGCAGCATGGGAAGAATTGCAAACCATTGCTGAAATGACTCATCCAAATCAAGCTGCAGTAGGTCGTTGCCTTCACCTATTCAATGACACTGATGTATCTTTACAGACAAATGTTAAAACGAAGGGAAAAACAAATGTCTCTTGACAAATTTGTAGTGAGACAAACAAGCACTGAACCACAACCAGGTCCTAGTGGTGTTCAGGCAAAATGTAGGAGAGAGAGTACCCCAGAGAAAGCCTGATGTGATAATGGAAGGGGACTCCCCTTCCAAACAGTAACAACTCACCTCCTCCCCCCCTCATCACCATCTTCCATACGCCATCAAGAGCCCTCCATAAAGGTAAGAGAAACTTAGATACTGTATTGTAGTTAGAAAAAACATTGTATTTAGTATAAAATGTATTTGTATGTTAATATTTTGGAGGGTGAGGAATGGATTAATTCAATTCCCTTTATTTCTTATGGGAAAAATCGCTTCGACTTACGATATTTTGACTTACGATCCGTCTCTGGGAACGGATTAGCATCGTAAGTCGAGGCCCCATTGTATTCACTTGGGGTGAGGTGATACAGGACATGATTGAGGTGAACAAGTGGATCAATGGCACAATGGGTATAATAGGCCATTCTGTGTTCTATCTTCTTGTTTCTATGTTGGTTCGGGGTCTTGAAGTTGGTAGAATGTAGTTGTGTGTTAATTGGCTGTTGATTGCTGGTTTTGACTTTTTGATGTGTGGGGCCTTGCTGATGTCGAGTCTCCTGTTGTCGTTATTACTACTGTTGTTTTTGTTAAATTTTTGGAGACAGAAATTGCATGAATGTGATTTTTACTGAATATCAAGTGCCAAAACCATTAGGAGAGTAATCATTAGCAATACAGTATTTTACATGTACTGTATTGTAAGCAAAAATAACATACAGTACATTAATATCTATAGAAGATTATGTGCATGTCTGTTTGAAGTTGGAGGTGAATTTATAGGGAGTGTCATAGGGGGTTTGGGGTCGCCCTTCATGCCCACTTCACCAAGTCAGTGACTATGAAATGTGCCACCCAAGTCCACATTGTTTAGCATTTGTCTACAGTCTCCATGGTTTCAGTTTTACAGTCTCCGTGGTGTGTGGTAAGACACTCGCCTGGCGTTCCGCAAGCGCTTTGTCATGGGTTCGTATCCTGGCCGGGGAGGATTTACTGGGTGCAAATCCTTAACTGTAGCCTCTGTTTAATGCAATAGTAAAATGTGTACTTGGTTGTAACGATTCTTCGCGGTGGGGATCGTATTCCAGGGATCTGCCCGAACTGCTACGTGTACTAGTGACTGTACAAGAATGTAACAACTCTTGTATATATATAAAAAAAAAAAATAAATATTAGTGAATACTGTACCATATTCAGATATTAACTTGCAAACCATATGTTCAGATGACAGACTTGCATTTAGAACCCAACCTTTAGGTTACAGTGATTGATATTGCGAAGAAAAAATGGTTAGTGATAGGGGGAAATAGAAGTTATATGCTGGAGGATACCCAGGCACCAGGTTGACCCGGGCATTGTCGGGCATCTCGGGCACCCCACCAGGGCTACCCCTTATTCAAAAGCAACACCAAAAAATACCTAATTTCATCCTCATAGTTTTCTACCTTAGTGCCTCACACTCGCACTGTATTGTGTGCTACCGCAAAATATGTGCCTAAGCCATATAACTTCACTGTTGTAATCACTGCCATCATCTTATATCATAGTTGTTATGTTAAACACAAATTTTACTACAATGTACCTAGAAATAATCCTCAAATTATGCTACAATGAATCTGTTGATAATCCTCAAATTTTACTAAAAATGTACCAACTAATTTTCTTCAAATTTTCTTACAATGTACCTGTTAACTTTTTAAAATTTTGCTACAAATTACCTACTTAAAATGACCCATTAGATTAAGGCCCTGCCAGAAACACTATGCGTGTTAGTGACTTTACAAGAATGTAAAAACATGAAATGGCCACTGCTTCGCAAGCGGGGATGTTTCTGATGGGGGAGAAAGAAACAATTGCGCAGCGCGTCCCGCGGCGTTGTGCGGGCAGTCTGGGGCCATATAAATACTGGGGTAAAGAGGGGCTCTGCCCTCACTTCGCCTGCCATCGCCGCTGCCCTCATCCAGCAGTGAATGGGTATCTGGTTGTTAAATGATTTGACAGGTCATATTCCGGGGAAAAATTAGGATCAAGGTCCTGTCCAAAACGCTATGCGTGCTGGTGGCTTTACAAAAATGTTACAACTCTTGTATATATGAATAAAATTAACATTAAATTGAACTTCTACACAGTTTTACCATACACAAAAGCAATTCTTTGCAAACATTTACTCCTTTAACCCCTGTACTGTGCTCACCAGGATCTCTCGTTTGACAGGTGAGGCACTCCCAAAGAAAACTGGTTTGTAGATACTGTACTGTATTATAGCAGCCAACACTCGGGAACCTGTACACCAGTTGCAGATGAAGTCACAATAACGTGGCGGAAAAATGTTGACCAAACCACACACTAGAAAATAAAGACGACGACGTTTCGGTCCATCTTGGACTATCAAGTCGACTGTGACAGTCAAGAGGCAGTTTATTGACAGTTAAGAGGCAGTGTATTGACAGTTAAGAGGCAGTGTATTGACAGTTAAGAGGCAGTGTATTGACAGTTAAGAGGCAGTGTATTGACAGTTAAGAGGCAGTGTATTGACAGTTAAGAGGCAAGACCAAAAGAGCCGAAGCTGGACTCACACAAGCACAATTAGACAAATACAACACCTACACTACAACACCCAGCATGATGACCTGTCTTCACAAGAGCATCTCCCCCATAGTATATATAGCCGGGGACCTGACCCACACGGTCTTGACCCCTGGTGGGGCTATACCTTATACGAGTCCTGTACGCTATAGTATACTACACTCTCTACCATTAGCTTTTCCAATACTACAATCATTACATTCATTTTATTACAAGTAGCATACCAAACATAGTCTACAGTACCATATCAGTGTGTTGGCAGTGCCAGCTGCTGGAACACGAGTGACCACAGTGCCACCTGTGCTGGAGCTCCGTGTGGCAGACGTGACAACAGTGCCACCTGTGTCGTGTGTCAGGAGTGACGCCAGTGCCGTGTGCGAGGAGTGACGCTAGTGCCGTGTACGAGGAGTGCCGGCAGTGCTGTGTGGCAGGAGTGACGCCAGTGCCAGGTGTGCCGCCAGTGCCAGGTGTGCCAGGTGCCCGGGGACATCAGCTGATCCGCTCCCTCCCTGCGGATGCCACCTCCGCTCCACTGAGATTGTCCCTCCGTGACAGGAAGGTGTATGAGGGAGTGACGGTGAGAGAGAGAGAGGGAGGGAGGGAGCGAGAGAGAGAGTGAGGGTCACCAACACTACTCCACTGCCACGCTAACACTATAGATAACACTAGAGATAACACTACTATCACACCGGCTATATTCCTTATCTGGCAACTTTTCCTCTCAGCTGACTGGCGGCAGGTTTAAACTTCAATAATAATTTATTTTCTTGGGACAGGAAGCCTGTATTCACCTAGTTGTAGTCATCTAGTTGTGCTTGCGGGGGTTGAGCTCTGCTCTTTCGGCCCGGCTCTCAGCTGTCAGTCAATCAACTGTTACTAATCAATCAAATCAATCAACTGTTACTAATCAATCAAATCAGTCACTGTTATTGTCTTTCTTCTTGTTTTTTTACTCTATTTTATATTTACTCCATACTCCCTTGTTCCAATGTACAGTGACTTTGCCTCTGTCCTCTAGTATAAACTTTATCATTCAGTGTACCTGACTGTATCTCTAAGTAATCTACCTCACTTTTACACACAAAAATCACAATAACGTGATGCATCAAATGAACAAATCCACAAGGGCCGTGACGAGGATTCGAACCTGCGTCCAGGAGCATCCCAGATGCTGCCTTAATCGACTGAGCTACGACATGGTAAAAAGAGTTGAAACCGAAGTTCTACTGAACTTACTGGATCCTGCAGCCTCTCCGAGACACAAACCAGGGTTTTACACAACTCTCCCCTGCACCCGAGCTATGTCAATAGGCCGTTCTCCCTCTTCGCCCTTACATCATTACACATAGAACTTCGGTTTCAACTCTTTTTACCATGTCGTAGCTCAGTCGATTAAGGCAGCGTCTGGGATGCTCCCAGACGCAGGTTCAAATCTTCGTCACGGCCCTTGTGGATTTATTTTTATTTATTTATTTATGCATATACAAGAATGTACATAAGGAATGTGAGGATACAAATATGGTAATTACAGTCTTGTAAAGCCACTAGCACGCGCAGCGTTTCGGGCAGCGTTTCGTTTCGGAATTTGTTCTACCTTATTTTTGTTTTAGTGTAACTTTAGTAATTAACTAGAGTGTAATTATATTATTAAAGTAAGCTATTGTTTTATAGAATTATCAATTGTTATTTGCTATTACTCTCTCATTTATGTCATCTTCATTTTATATTATTTGTTTCTATTATATATATATATATATATATATATATATATATATATATATATGTCGTACCTAGTAGCCAGAACTCACTTCTCAGCCTACTATGCAAGGCCCGATTTGCCTAATAAGCCAAGTTTTCATGAATTAATGTTTTTTCGTCTACCTAACCTACCTAACCTAACCTAACCTAGCTTTTTTTGGCTACCTAACCTAACCTTACCTATATATATAGGTTAGGTTAGGTTAGGTAGGGTTGGTTAGGTTCGGTCATATATCTACGTTAATTTTAACTCCAATAAAAAAAAATTGACCTCATACATAGTGAAAAGGGTAGCTTTATCATTTCATAAGAAAAAAATTATAGTAAATATATTAATTCAGGAAAACTTGGCTTATTAGGCAAATCGGGCCTTGAATAGTAGGCTGAGAAGTGAATTCTGGCTACTAGGTACGACATATATATATATATATATATATATATATATATATATATATATATATATATATATATATATATATATATGTCGTACCTAGTAGCCAGAACTCACTTCTCAGCCTACTATTCAAGGCCCGATTTGCCTAATAAGCCAAGTTTTCCTGAATTAATATATTTACTATAATTTTTTTCTTATGAAATGATAAAGCAACCCTTTTCTCTATGTATGAGGTCAATTTTTTTTTATTGGAGTTAAAATTAACGTAGATATATGACCGAACCTAACCAACCCTACCTAACCTAACCTAACCTATCTTTATAGGTTAGGTTAGGTTAGGTAGCCGAAAAAGTTAGGTTAGGTTAGGTTAGGTAGGTTAGGTAGTCGAAAAGCAATTAATTCATGAAAACTTGGCTTATTAGGCAAATCGGGCCTTGCATAGTAGGCCGAGAAGTGCGTTCTGGCTACTAGGTACGACATATATATATATACACACATGCATATTTTCTCTTTTTTTTATCTGTTTACGATAATTATTTTATATTTTTAGCAGATTTAGTATTTTGTTGCTCTGTACTTGCTTTCCTATTGTACCTTGACTCCATTGCATCCACATTTCAATTTCAATTTCCACATGCAAGCTGATATTGATCCTGAACAAAATCTACTAGCTCAAATATACAATAACCAACACACTGATCATCACCACTGCAGGTATCACACAGCTCACCAGGCTAAAAACAAACTCTATAACAACACTTGCTTATCAGTTTTCAACCAAAATGTCAGATCACTTGGTAAACATTTTGATGATATAAATGCACTAAGGGCCCAAGCTTCGTCTTGAGGCAAAGGTCAACGCCTTAAGCCATATTGGTGCTCTCTCTACAGAACATTTTCTCTCTCAAATCATATACACTGATGGTTCCCTACACCGCCCCACGGGTGCAGCTGGAAGTGCAGTTGTTCTGACAATGGGCGATGGCTTGTACTTTGAGTGGGGAGTCCGTCTAAACAACTGGACCTCTACCCTTCATACCGAACTATTTGCCTTGCTTCTTGCACTGGAATGTGTACAAGTCTCCAAACTTGATACATTAATTGTAAGTGACTCTTAATCATCCTTAAATGCTCTCAACTCTTTAAGACATAACTGTAACATGCTCGTGTCCGAAGCTAGACACAAATACAACAAAATTATTAATGATGGTAAGAGAGTCCATTTCATGTGGTCTCCATCTCATGTTGGGCTCCGAATGCATGATAGAGCTGATAAGTTAGCCGAAGAATCTGCCTTAAAGGAGCCGTTGAGTGTAACCTTGGATTGTCAATGAGCAATCTGAGAGCAGCAGTACACCGAGAACTTCAACAAGATCTTGCAGATCTGAGGCAAAGTGAAGTCGACACCAGTAATTCCATCTATCATCATACTATCATGCAAGAGGAGCCACACATCTATGGTTCATCCAATAAAATCAGCAGACTTCTAGATGTTACTACTGCACGGCTTAGACTCGGTTACAAGTATCTCTGGGAATTCTCATTATCTGCTGATGTAGACCTGACCAAATGTAAACTGTGTCGACAAAATTATTCGCACACCCTCCGTCACTATGTGATGGAGTGCGAAAAGATACGTAAATTTAGAGACAATTCTATAACCAATGTTCCAACGATGTGTAAATATTTCATTCAAAATTATCTGCTACCAGAAATTTTAGCCAAATATCCCCAGTTTGCTAACTGTAGGTAGTAACTGAGTGATTGTAACCTATCCACCGCCGCCCACTGGATGGGGGCGGTGTGCAGGACAAACATATCAATTGTGACACTAGCTCTCCACATATGTCAGTTGCTTAATTTAGAAACTGTACTTGTGGTCGATCTCGAACCCATTGAATACGTGACGACTCATACTGAATTTTGTAACTAGCTCATCAAGATTGTAACTTGCTTAGCTAAATGAATTATGGGGTTCAGTCCCTGAGCCCATTATGTGCCTCTGTAACCCTTTCCACTACCACCCACAAGATGGGTATGGGGTGCATAATAAATGAACTAAACTAAAAAACTAACTCATCATGTATGTATATACTTTTACCTGAATAAAAATTTGAATTGATTTGATAAATTAATATTATTATACATACAAATTTTATGTATTGTTATGCGTATGTTTGATGCTTTGGTTCTTTTGGCAATTATTTGTATTATAAGTATGTGGGTGAAGCATTTATGTGGTTCGAACACAGGACGTGAGCGAAGCACTTGTTCCGGAAGTGTTCGGAGGTCATCAGGTGTAAGTCGTGTATAAACCACTTTTCATTCATAAACATTGGGTTTGGCGGCTGTATTAACGAGCTTAGATCTTTGTTGAGCCGGTCCTCGACTCAAGTCCATTACATAAATTACCGAAGACGAAAATATGACGAGCTGAGGAACTTCCTCAGGGGAATACCATGGGAAACAGAACTTAGAGACAGACTGTGCAGGACATGGTGGATTTTGTCACCCAGAAGTGCCAGGAAGCTGCAGACAGGTTTATCCAGGTCCAAAAGGAGTGAAACGAAAAAAACAGAAAAACCCATGGGTCAACTAGGAATGTAAGGTAGCGAAGCAACTGAGTAAAAGAACATGGAGAAACTACAGAAATAACAGAACACCGGAGAGCAGGGAGAGATACCAGAGGGCCAGAAATGAGTACCTCAGAGTGAGGAGAGAAACAGAGAGACAGTTTGAAAATAACATAGTGAGTAAAGCCAAGACCTAACCAAAGCTGCTCCACAGCCACATCAGGAGGAAAACAGCAGTGAAGGAACAAGTGATGAAGCTGAGAAAAGGGGAGAACAGATACACAGAGAATGACAAGGAGGTGTGTGAAGAACTCAACAAGAGATTCCAGGAGGTCTTCACAATAGAACAAGGAGAAGCCCCTGCACTAAATGAGGAGGCAAACCAAGCAGCCTTGGAGGAATTTGACCTCACCAGGGATGAGGTCAAAAGGTGTCTGCTGGAGCTGGATGTGACAAAGGCTGTTGGGCCTGCCAGAATCTCACCATGGATACTAAAGGAAGGTGCACAAGCACTAAGTGTGCCACTCTCTATGGTGTATAATAGGTCACTGGAAACAGGAGACATACCAGAAAGTTGGAAGACAGCTAACGTAGTCCCAATATACAAGAAGGGCGACAGGCAAGATGCACTGAACTACAGGCCAGTTTCCTTAACTTGTATACCATGCAAGGTGATGGAGAAGATCGTGAGGGAAAGGCTCGTTGAGCATCTGGAAGGAAATAACTTTGTAACGCCCCACCAACATGGGTTCAGGGATGGTAAATCGTACTTCACAGGTTTAATAGAATTCTATGATCAGGCAACAAAAATTAGGCAGGAAAGAGAAGGGTGGGCCGACTGCATTTTCCCGGACTGCCAGAAAGCCTTTGACACAGTACTCCCATAAAACGGCTGTTAAAAAAGTTGGAGCAACAGGCAGGAGTAAAAGGGAAGGTGCTCCAGTGGATAAGGGAGTACTTAAGCAACAGGAAACAACGAGCACTGTGAGGGGGGGGAGACATCAGAGTGGCGAGAGGTCACCAGCGGAGTCCCACAGGGCTCAGTACTTGGACCCATCCTGTTTCTAGTATATGTAAACGATCTTCCGGAGGGTATAGACTCGTTCCTCTCAATGTTTGCTGATGACGCAAAAATTATGAGAAGAATCAAGAAGGATGAAGATAGACAGAGACTACAGGACAAACTGGAGGAATAGTCTAGAAAATGGCTGCTAAAGTTCAATTCAAGAAAGTGAAAGGTAATGAAATTAGGCGAAGGGAGCAGGAGGCTGAACACAAGGTATCATCTGGGAGGGGAAATCCTGCAAGAGTCAAATAGAGAGAAAGATCTGGGGGTTGATATCACACCGAACCTGTCCCCAGAGGCCCACATCAAAAGAATAATATCAGTGGCATATGCTAGTCTGGCCAACATAAGAACTGCCTTTAGAAACTTGTGTAAGGAATCGTTCAGGACCCTGTATACCACTTATGTAAGACCAATCCTGGAGTATGCAGCTCCAGCCTGGAGTCCATACCTAGGTAAACACAAGACAAAGTTAGAGAAGATTCAGCGGTATGCCACTAGGGTCGTCCCGGAACTGAGAGGAATGAGCTACGAGGAAAGGCTAAAGGAGCTGAACCTCACATCCCTGGAAAACAGAAGAGTAAGGGGAGACATGATAACCGCCTACAAAATTCTCAGGGGAATTGACAGGGTGGACAAAGACAAACTCTTCAGCACGGGTGGGACACGAACAAGGGGACACAGGTGGAAACTTAGTACCCAGATGAGGCACAGGGACGTTAGAAAGATTTTTTTCAGTGTCAGAGTAGTTAGTAAATGGAATGCATTAGGAAGTGATGTGGTGGAGGCTGACTCCATACACAGTTTCAAGTGTAGATATGATAGAGCCCAATAGGCCTTCCGCAGTTACGTCCATACTTATGTTTTCATACCCATTATTTCGTGTTCTGTCTTGTGTTTGTCACCTCACCCAAAGCGAGTATAAGTTCAATGAATTTTTATGTGTTAACTAAGTCTTTGAAAATGTAATAAAAATTACGATATATATATATATGTATATATATATATATATATATATATATATATATATATATATATATATATATGTATGTATATATATATATATATATATGTATGTATATATATATATATATATATATATATATATATATATATATATATATATATATATATATATATGTGTGTGTGTGTGTGTGTATATATGTATATATAGGCTACAGCACGTTGGCTTGAACAGCGACACAACTTACAAAGTGTGGGGAAGAGGTCGGGTCACCGGGCGCACTCCTGCCCTGCCTCGCTAACACTGCACATAACACCACCAACACACGTGGTATATGTGAGGCCTGGCAACCCTCCCCACACGCTGACGGATGTGTCAACTTGCTGTTCGTTGTATTAGACTCAGCTACTCCGAACGACACGTCCATGTAGTACGGGCTATAGTGAGCCCGTAATGTGTCAACTTACCTAGCGCTACCCTTTCATATATACTACACCTCTCTACTATATTTATCTATTTACATACCAGAAGCTACATATTGGGTTATGAGAGTACATATCATTGGTGATTAAGCGTTACATTCTTGCAGAGCCACTAACACGCATAGCGTTTCTGGCAGGTCCTTAATCCAACTAATATTAATAGATACGTTGTAGCAGAGTGTGAGCGGGCAGCACTAGATACAGTGTGAGTTAGAAGCACAAGCTGGGAATAAACTATGAGGATATAATTAGGTACTGTTTGGTTTTACTTCTGAATAAACCGTCGGTTGGCTCTATTCAACCACTTGGGCTGGACGGTAGAGCGACGGTCTCGCTTCATGCAGGTCAGCGTTCAATCCCCGACCATTCAAGTGGTTGGGCACCATTTCTTCCCTCCTTCCCATCCCAAATCCTTATCTTGACGTGCTATATAGTCGTAATGGCTTGGCGCTTTCCCCCTGATAGTTCCGTTCCCTTCTATGATATATATATATATATATATATATATATATATATATATATATATATATATATATATATATATATATATATATATGTCGTACCTAGTAGCCAGAACGCACTTCTCAGCCTACTATGCAAGGCCCGATTTGCCTAATAAGCCAAGTTTTCATGAATTAATTGTTTTTCGACTACCTAACCTACTTAACCTAACCTAACCTAACTTTTTCGACTTCCTAACCAAACCTAACCTATAAAGATAGGTTAGGTTAGATTAGGTAGGGTTGGTTAGGTTCGGTCATATATCTACGTTAATTTTAACTTCAATAAAAAAAATTGACCTCATACATAATGAAATGGGTAGCTTTATCATTTCATAAGAAAAAAATTAGAGAAAATATACTAATTCAGGAAAACTAGGCTTATTAGGCAAATCAAGCCTCGAATTGTAGGCCAAAAAGTGCGTTCTGGCTACTAGGTACGACATATATATATATATATATATATATATATATATATATATATATATATATATATATATATATATATATATATATATATATATATATGTCGTACCTAATAGCCAGAACGCACTTCTCAGCCTACTATTCAAGGCCCGATTTGCCTAATAAGCCAAGTTTTCATGAATTAATGTTTTTTCGTCTACCTAACCTACCTAACCTAACCTAACCTAGCTTTTTTTGGCTACCTAACCTAACCTTACCTATAAATATAGGTTAGGTTAGGTTAGGTAGGGTTGGTTAGGTTCGGTCATATATCTACGTTAATTTTAACTCCAATAAAAAAAAATTGACCTCATACATAGAGAAAAGGGTTGCTTTATCATTTCATAATACAAAAATTATAGTAAATATATTAATTCAGGAAAACTTGGCTTATTAGGCAAATCGGGCCATGAATAGTAGGCTGAGAAGTGAGTTCTGGCTACTAGGTACGACATATATATATATATATATATATATATATATATATATATATATATATATATATATATATATATATATATATATATATATCATTTAATGACTACTACTTGTCGGAAAATCCGACACCATTTAATAATATACAGACATAATAAGTGCTGCTGTATTACCAACAAGTTACCCATAGAAAACGTAACTTGTAGTGGAATTACCGTCTAAAGAAAACGGGATATCATCACCACATACTATTATAATTCACCACCTATTATGGTGGGAATTATTCTTAAATACATTAGTCTTTAGACTTTACCATCATAAAAACATCTTATATAAATTAACTTAATTATCAATATTAAAGTAGAGTAAATGTGACCCTTCTATCACGTTCTGAAATCTGGACAATGTAAGCCAGGCGTCAGAGTGGAGGAAGGAGGGCAGCCATAGTTGTTATATTGAGACCAGAGGCTCACACGGGAGCAAATTCGGCTCCTGTTAAATTTACTTGGACGTAGTGTTATGGAACCCAAAGGTGTACCATTGTCAACACGCTGTCTACAAATACAAGTTAAGTGTCTATCCGAAACCCGTTTATCATTCATTTATGGCCATTAATGTCAGGATATAGGGTTAGCCGGTTAGAACGCGAAATCGCCTCATACTAAAGGTAATTAAGCCAGGTCTTTAATGTTCCATGTACTGTATAGTGTTTTCTCTGATATAGCTTGTCATATATAGGATTCTGGCTTCACAGCTAGCGCACTTTTGACAGGTCAAGACGAGGATGCAAGATTATGTGCACCAGTTACTGGGTGATAGAAGCTACCTCAAAGAGGATAATTTGGTGTCTACACTCTAGTTATACCTGGTGGACTAACCTGCTGTACTATAAGAGAAGGAACCTCTTCAATGTTTAATAGTATGTAGTCTATTTCTGTAATTTGATTGGCTGCATATATATAAACTAATAAACCCCCCTAATGTGTAGAGGATCGATTTGTGAGATTGAGATTATTGCAGAAATACAGTCCACTTAACATTATACAAATTGCTATCGAAGTATATAAATTAACGTAAATATAAATTCATATAAATTAAATAAATATAAATCTCACAGGTCGGTTCCCACACTATTTGGTCATCTTCGAACCGGATGACGGATTATTTGATCCTATGAACCCACATTTGGTCATCTTAGTACCGGATGAACCAGTTAACCAGTGGATTCATTAAATACTAGTGCAGTGTTATTAAAACAAAGGCCAGCCAGTCAAAGACGGAAGCGTAGCCTCGAGGGAGCTCAGGAGCCTCCCTCAGTTCAGATCTGCCTCATCAGCGGTTTCATGCACACCCACAGAGATTTGGTGGCGTGTTATTTCGTGAAATGACAGCGCTAATATAGAATCCAGCCAAATTAGTGACTGTGTCTTCGCGATATTGTTCACGGATTTCGTGGTGTTACATTTCGCGAGAGATTATCTACGAATTTTGTGGACTTTATTTCGCGAGGTCACTAATAATATTTAATACTTCTAGATAATATTAGAAGTTTCATAGAGGCTAATTAAGAGGCTATTATCAATAATTGTGTATATTATTTCTCCAAAATAGAGAATTATTTAATATATATTGCACTAGTGATCACAATATAATATTTACTAATTGCCAACCCACAACAGGGTAGGATATTACCATTGACTAGTTGAACTATTATTGTTCATCCTAGTCCCATTATTACCATAGTCAGTTGTACTATATTGATCAACCTACACCATTAATGAATGGTCCACACCCTATTTTGGGTGTAATTTTTATCAACTCGAGTTGAGTTGTATATATAATAAATTACTTATGATCATTACACCTTTGAGTGATTAATTAGTGTCTCTACCATCCTAGGGTGATATAGAAGAGCTAACCTAAAGGTACTTCCAGTGACACTGGTTTATCACTCAAATTATTAGTGTGGATGATTGTATATATATAATGTGTATTAATTTTAAGTGCTAACCTCTAGTAGAGGTAGGATTATTGCCTAGTGAGTTCAGAATTTACCCTAGGCTACCATTAGTGTTTGTTCAGTATTATGAGCAGCCCAAGTACAAGCCCCACAAGGCTTCACCAACGAGCCAGTATGGATAATGCAGGGAGAATGAAAAGAACCCTTGCAGGTCTTAAAGGCCACTTAACAAGACAGATCAAGAAATGTGAAGATTTGTCACAACAATCTCAAGTTGATTATGCTGACCTGGAAAGCTATTATCAAGCAGCTGCAGGTAAATTTGAGCAAATCAAATGCCAAATAGCAACATATGTGGCTGAACTTGCCAACACCAATTTATCAGAAACAGAAATAGACGACATTATGGTTGATCTTGCGAATTATGAAGATCACACTCAGGCCACGTTACAGCCTTATGTCAAATTAATTGCCCAGAACAAGGCAACAGCAACAACAACAACAGTTGCATCTAATACGAGTCAAGCGGAAGCTCGACTCCCTCCAATTAATTTACCCACTTTCTCAGGGAAAGATGAGGAAGATTGGGACGAATTTTGGAACAAATTCGTTGACCTTGTAGACTCAAAACAATCTTTACCAAAGAGTAGTAAATTCTCTTATTTGCAAGGCCAATTATCAGGTGAGGCTAAAACAGTAGTATCCCATCTGAGATTAACTAATGACGGCTATGATCTGGCAGTAAAACTCCTCAAGGATAATTATGCTGATCCAGAAGTAAGAACATCACATTTAGTTCATGAGCTGTTGCATTTACCCCCACCGGAGGCTTCAGCTGATTCACTCCAAGTCTTCAAGCTGGAGGTAGAATCATTGATCAATGCCCTCAGCCTGACAGCAGATACAAACGGGGCTGAGTGGGTCTTGAAAATAATTGTCCAGGAGAAAATACCTAGGGACATATTGAGACAAATGAGTGCTCATTACAATAAAAGCATCTTATCTATGAATGAAATATCTGAAGGTTTAAAGTCAGTAGTTCATCAATTACGAACACATGACAAATTAAAACCACCAAGTAAACCCTCAGAAACCAATAATAGTAAACCACAGAGTACCATAGGTACTCCAAATCAATCTAGACAATATAATTCAACACCAAAGTGGAACAGTGGCAGTGTGGGCGTATATGCAGTTGGACCCTCCAAGCCTATAGTTACTGTGTCACCCAAGAACGTGACACCAAAGGGTACTGGAAGCTATGGAACATGTTTGTTCTGCAATGAGAAACATTCAATGTACCACTGCCCTAATTTTCCTGATAGTGACGCCCGTGTTGAGCGACTCAAAGATTTGCAACATTGCACGAGGTGCCTCAGGAAACATAACATCAAGGACTGTGATACCCAATTACACCCTTGTAATAGGTGTAACAAAGGTCAGCACCATGCAGCATTGTGCAGAGACACCAAAACAACGTCTCCAAACCCCAAGGTGGAAGATAGCATTCCCACCACAGTACAGTACTGC